TGGCTCAGCAACCAGGCCATTGGAAAAGGTGTTTACCTGCAGCTGAATGGTGGTACAACACTAACTTCCACTCCAGTTTGCAGATGACTCCGTTCCAAGCTTTATATGGCTACAAACCATCCCAATTGAGTTTGAACACAGCTGACACTCAGGTTGCTGCTGTGGAGGATTGGATAAAGGAAAGGGTAAACTAGAATACATTGCTCAGGGAAAACTTATTGCAGGCTCAGAACCGAATGAAGCAGTTTGCAGATAAACATAGAATAGATTAGGTCCTTCGCTGAGGGTGATTGGGTGTATCTCAAGTTGCAGCCGTATAGACAGACTACGGTAGCACTAAGGAGGAACTTGAAGCTGGCAGCCAAGTATTATGGTCCATATCAGGTGGAAAAGAGGATTGGGTCAGTTGCTTATAGGCTCAAGCTTCCACAGGGTGCTGCTATTCACCCTGTTTTCCATGTTTCACTCTTGAAACCAATGTCTAAGGGAGCTCCTATCAGCACTGAATTGCCACGGATATCGGAGGAAGGGCTCTACACTACTGCTCCCACTGCAGTCCTAGACAGAAGAATGTTAGACAGGGCTGGTCAGCAGGTGGAGCAGGTCTTAATTTGTTGGAAGAACATGAATGAGGAGGATGCTACCTGGGAGGATTTGACTGTTATACAAAGCCAATTTCCATCCTTCAATCCTAGAGACTAGGATTGTTTGAAGGGAGGGCAACTGTAATGGCTGAGCTGGAGTTTAGTTATCTGACGTCAGGAAGTTAGTTGAAAGAAATATTCCAAATAACAAATTGCATGATCGGTTACTTGATCGAGCATGTGAGTCATTTCATATTGCATGCGTAGTTATATTGTTAGAATACCAGAAACTAGTATAAAGCAGAGGAGGAAGATAAGAGATGTAGTTTTTGAATGAACATTTCTCATTATCCGTCTAATCTATCCTAGACTTCCTCTGCTCTCTTTTCTATCTTTCTCTGTATCTGCATTTCTCTTAATTTCTGCCTTGAATTCGTTCCTGATTGTACTAGACCAGTACAACTTGACGTGTGTTTTAATTGTATTTTAGCAATGGACGATTTGGGCGAGCCATTGGTTGAGCTCAGTTGCCTAGTTGGTTGTTCTTATGCTTGAGAACAAGTATGATTTTGGTGTACAAAGAATTGTTAGAATGTATTTTGTTGGTGTCTTTGTGGATTTTTTCCCCTTGATTTTAGCCAAATATCATTTTAACCGGTGGATTCTACTCATATTAAGTAATTGGCACTAATTTTAGGAATTTGGTAAGAAATGGAGTAAAAAGTGGTTTAATGAAGATTTTTTGCCAATTCCTTGTGACCGCACCTAAAGTTAGCCTACAAGTTCGGAGAAGTCGGAAATTACGCGCATGGTGATTTCCTAGTTTAAGTTGAAGACCTAAGGAGCGTGTTTCCAAGTTGTATTGTGAACCGACAATGAATTGCCTTACGTTAATTTAGGAAATATTTCTTTCATAGGAAATTAGAAGTATTAGTAGTACTAATAGTTAGGAAAGTAACGTGAGGAGGAGGGACTTTGCTTTAGCGACTTTAAGTGTTCGTCTTGGTCCCCAGAGAGGGATACTACTGACTACTGAGTCTTGGCGTCAAGACCAAAAAGGGAGAGCTATTCTCTCCGTCTTTTCATTTTTTCAGTTTTTCTCTTTTGTCAAACACTTATGCAATCTCCTTCAATGAAATTGCTTGGTTTGTTCTAAATGAACAATTAATTTCTTTTCTAGTCTAGGCATAACGAAGGTTTTGGTTTATCTATAATTGTGAAATCTAACTGTTTTATTAGTTTTCTATATTCGTTGGTATTTGCATGTTTTCTGATTTAATTTCTCATGATTGTTTCGTTATTTGAGTATCAGGACCCAATATTTAATTTAACTTAACAAACTATTGTCAGTTGGAACAATTAAATCTGTAATTTGTTTAGTTATCTTGAATTAGTGACGAATAGTGTGATTAGTTTCATGTTAGGAAAACATATAATCTAATTTAAATAAACTTTGGTAATGTATTTATTGATTAAAAGAGGGCTTTTGTAGTTTTTAATGCAGTCAAGAAATTAAATTTTATGGACATATCTAGGATTGTTTCTTGGGTAGGGAAGTAGTTAACTAGCGTAACTTAATTATCGAGATGTTTAAGAAAAAGATGGTTGTTGTCACGTGTTTGACAACTAAAACCTGTTTATTAATGAATAGTTGAAATAATTATTGTATCGATGAATAGTTGTATGAACCTCTTCCGAAATTATTTCCTTGGCTAGAGCTTGTTTATTCTTAATTTGAATTTAATTTGTCTTATTTTAATTATTTTGATTTATGTTGATCATTTATTTTAATTTTAATTTCTCAAAACTCCCTTTTAGTTCTCACTTGGAAGGAAACAAATTTTCTCCTAATCTCTGTAGAGATAACCTTACTTGCCATTATACTCGTGTATATTTTTGTGAGTAGGAATTTAATATTACATAGGCTCGACACCTGTTATTAGGTTCGATTACAAGAGCTAAAGAAAATGAAGGATGCACTACTAGTATTTGTTCGCACAATACAAGATCAAGTTGGAGCGTGTCGGGCAATCGAAGAACTTGAAAATCAAGGTTCACGTGTTAATTACAAATTTATTGCCACAACAAATTTCTATTTAAGTAACAATTTCAACTTTTTCAAAATGAATCCAACCCTGGACTAGTGAAGGATGCAGATGCCATTCGAAAGCAATTTACTATGGGTAATATAAAAACATCACTTGCTATAAAAATTTTATTGGATACAAGATTACAAGGACTACAAATCGGTAATATACAAATACGAATTCCACCATATTTGAGGGAAAAATGAATTGGATGACCCGGAAGAATTGAGTATAAGTAAAAGGTATCATATCCTCTCACTTATTCTATAATCGACTTTGTCACTATGTTGTTGAAAGTCGTTTGTTGCAATAAATATTGGGGAACCAAATGATTCACTTTCTCATATGACACTGAAAGCTTTGGCCTCCATTCAGGATTGAAATCGCAAGCCGTTTGCTCTTTCCTACCGACGCTGAAAACTTTCACCACAGTTGTACCATTCTTTATACAACACGAGGCACGAAGACAATAAAATTCTGCATAATGACTCATTGTGTCCTGAGGTATTAAATGGCGGAAAACCGTATCAGCATCTTGGAGAAAAAGTGCGAAATAGATTGACAAATATAAATGCCTCTGTTTTGACAAAAATGCATAATAGATTGACAAATGCATGATGGATGCTTGTTCCTTCTGTCTTTCATTTTTTCTTTTCTTAAGTAAGAGAGGGATGAGATTAAGAGTCGCCTTACATAAGAAATTAAACTAAGTTATTTTAGTATTAGTTTTTTAATTCCTTTTGGTTTCCATATTAGATTAAGAAATCTCAATCAGTTTCCAAGTAAGTTTTAGTTTATAACTGTATTTGTTTTAGTAAGATTTGGAGTCTATAAATACTATTAATCTAGTATGTTGTTATTTGAAAAGTTGACTTGAGATTTAAGAGAGAGTTTTAGGAAAAGCTCATAGTTGAAATTTGTGAATTGTCGTGAGTAAAATGTTTGAATTAATAAAATTATTAAAAATTTGTTATGTGTTTATTCTTCTCCTCTTTTCTCCTCTTTTCTCATGCCAACAGCATAGCTTAGATTTAAATCATAACCAAACTGAAACCACACTAGCGGTTTGCCGAATTCAGAACTGGAATTGGACTTTTTACACCAGAACTGGGGCCAGAACCTTGACTAAATGTTCCCGTTCTGGACTTTTTATACAAGAACTGGGGCCAGAACCTTGACTAAATGCTTCCGTTCTGGACTTTTTATACCAGGATTGGGGCCAGAACCTTGACTAAGTGTTCCCGTTCGGGTTCATAAAAATATTAAAACCAGAGCCAAAACTGCAAGTTCATAGTCAGTTTGAACCATCCAAATTTAGGAGAAAAACTCAACACTAGCCCGTAGGCTTATTTGGCCTAGCCTAAAGTCCAAATTTGAAAGCTCAACTAATTGTAAATTGTATAATTGTCTAATCGAGATTTTATTTCTTGTTACATTTCAATATAAATGACAAAATCATGCATCTTTTTATTTTATTTAAAACAACCAATTAGTTTGAAGTATTTTTGCGTATAATTTGTATGATTTTTTTTTAGCTAATAATATAATAAAAGTCTTATTTTTTCTTCCAGATTCATTGCTATATTTTCCCAAATTCAGTGGTGAAACAATAAGTATATAAGTGCAACTAGAAGATCCGGAATGATAACTGCAAGAAACTAGAAAAGTAATCATAAGATTCATAACTATCCTTACGAGGCAGAATTTTATTTGGAGGCAGAATTTTACTAATGTTGTGTCTCCTTATTTGGAAAACAGAGGCATATATATACGTTCATATAACTACTTCTACTCTTCTTCAAAAGATTCTTCTTCGCAAATCGGCTTTAGATGTATGCATACAAGTAACTTTCGTTCATACTTCAAATTCATTCAATAGAATTAGATTTAAGGGCATAACAAGACCCTATCTTATATTTACAACTTATAGGTTTTTAACATACATAATAAAAGATATTATTGTATCTTGTGATGTAAATAAAAAGTTACATAATTCTAATCATGCTTCTCTTGGAACTATTGCAAAGTTTGACGTGTTTGTTTCTTTTCTTCTTATAAAATATTTGACACGTCAATCAATTTGGAAAGCATATAATCCATCGAAGTCGGTGCAGAGTCCAAATTATCAACAATGCTGTTGAATATGGGAGACATGAACCTTATCTTCTCCATGGTGCTCGAAGTCTATATGCCTCAAAGACCTTTGTAGAAATTAGAACAAATGCTTCTCCGTACATCTTTCTATTTGTTTACGCTTATATAGACTTTCGACCTAGCACGACAACTGCCTCTTCAACATTGGTGGGCCGACTCCGGGACCCTTTCGATGGGAATGTGGCATAGGCTTTCCTATAAATAGAGATCAATCTGCACCACCTTCCTCATCCTTCTCAAAATCAGTCTTCGATACATAAATTTCCCTTGAGCAAAAATGGGTTCCAAGACACTTCTTTTCTTTTTCATTTCCATGGCTGTAGTTCTAATGATTACCTCAGAGGTGGCTGCCAAGTCAGTTGACAATTGTAAGACATTTATTCTTCAATTAACATTTCATCATTTTTTCTCTTTCTAATTTATATGCACCATGTTTTAATTCAGCATTTAGGACCACAGCGTTTAACATTTCAAATAGATTTTTGTTGTTTTTCAAAAATAAAAAATAGATTTTTTTTGTACATGTGAAGTGTCGGAGTACTAAGAAGCATAGCTGAGCTGTGGTTAAAAAGATTGATACACCTCTACTTTCAGTAACTGGATTCTAAGTGTCAAGCCTTTCTAAACGTGGGAGTTGGAGTATAGTCGTTTGTGACTGGATTGCCTTTCCTGTATTTTTTGAGTAAAACTATATTTTGTAAACATATGGATTTGAGATTCTCATTTTAAACATACTGTTAATAAATCATTGTATTTATTAACTTTCAGAAACTATAATTCGCTATGATAAAATAGCTATTAGTTGGTAGTAATTAGTCATTTTAATGATATCTGTAAAATAATAATTTGACACATACGTTAAAAGGCAAAATTTCAAAAGAATTACGATGTGTTTCGCTAAAATACTCTGTAACCTAAAAGCATGTACACAATTTGGTCCAAACTTACATTTTCAAAATTGCGATTACAGTAACTAACGCCCATACCCTATTTATCTTTATTGCAGCCAAGACAGTTGAGACAAATGAGGAAGGAGAAGCCAAGTACCATGGAGGTGGCCACGGAGGAGGCCATGGAGGTGGCTACGGAGGAGGCCACGGAGGCCACGGAGGAGGCTACGGAGGAGGTCATGGAGGAGGTCATGGAGGGCACCATGGCGGTGGATACGGGGGCCATCCAGGAGAAGGTAATGGGGATGGACATGGAGGGTACGGGGGTGGCGGCCATGGTGGTTATGGACATGGCGGTGGCGGCCATGGTGGTTATGGACACGGCGGACATGGTGGTGGCGGCCATGGTGGACATCCTGGTGAGGCTGCAGATGCTAAGCCTCTGAACTAATAAAGCCAGCTTCTAGCTAGGTCATGATTAATCATGAATGCTTAAGCAGGCTTGCTATAATAGTATGTACTTTGTAATGTGAAATTCAAATAAGTGCTGGATCAGTGATCATGTAATATGCACTCCATGTATTTGCTGGCTATCTAGTTCAATATAATTAAGTATATGAGTTTGTGATTTTGTCTCTCTTTTTTTAGCACTTTTGAGGTGATGGCAAAATTTTTTCATGCAATACGAAGTAAATTTTGCAAATTTTCACTAAAAAATGAGTAATTTTAGTATTTCAAATTGACAACAAAGTCAATCCTAGTTTTTGGTTGATTTTATCTGTAAATCAGTAAATTATTATCAAATTGCTCCTTTTTTCTTTCTTTCTTTTCTTTTGGATATACTTAAAAACTAACCAATGCATATATTTTCAAAAAGATCCTCACTTAGGTATCTGTCTGTCCAATATTTAGTCTAGCCATACATAAAGTGATGCAAAAGCATACAGAAGATCTTGTTTACTTTGTTTCACCACCTCTCTCTCTCAAACCATAGCACAAATGCCTGAAATCTAATTGACTAGTTGACAATGAGTGTGACAGATTGAACATTGTGCTATTCTCAAGTATAAAAGAAAGGTAGATTACAATGCATTTCAGCCTCGGATTAACACTTGTCCATTACGATTTTAGAGGGCAAAATAATGGTTCGGGTAAATGACTCCAATAGTACTTCAACTTTAATCAGTGATCCTATTTTGATCTTTAACATTTAGAACTGCGTATTAGGCCCCTTAATTTGAAATTTTGGTTCTAGAAATTTGTTTCTAACTAGTCCCTCCAAGCCAAAATTAAGTATGTTAACCCTTGAGGTTTGATGCAATATTTGTTTTCTTCCTCTAAGTGTAAATATGAGACATATTAGTCTGTAAAAAAGGAAAATTTTATCCGTCTGATGGTTTACATAAACCTGAAAAAAGGACTTGCTCTTACCAAGTAACAAGCAAAGTGCTGCCTTATTTTTAGAATTTGCTAACTTTATTTATCATTATTATTATCGTTAGCATCATCATCATCTGATTTAAATTCTAATAAACTCAAATATGCATGACATTAAACATTAACCCAACAAAAATAAGAAGAGATGTTAAGAAAATAAACAAGAGAGTTCTTTTCCTTTTATCAATTTAATTTTCTTTGTATAGTTAATATTGTAGAGTATATGATAATTTTGACCTTATAAAGAAGACAAAAAGATAAAAGTAAATAGTAATTCCTGTATTTTTTAACCTAAAAAAAGCAAACAAAGAAATAAAAGTAAAAAAATGTAGGGGTAATTGTTTATTTTATTATTTTGGCATCCTTTTAATGTAAATATTTGTCATATTCTCCGAAGTATTGACTACCCAAAAATATTGTGTTGAAAGTGAATAAACTCCCTTTTCTTATTTTCCTTAAAATCTTTTATTATTCATGTTGAATTGATCTTTGTCTTTGTATATATCACTTTCAGTTACGACTTCAGGCTGAATAATAATAATAACAATATATTAAAGTTAGCAAAATTCTATTACTATAAGGCAATATTAGGTTTGTTATATTTTTTAAAGAGAAAATTTTCATTTCTTTTAGTTTGCATAATTTATAGGAAGGATAATACCGTTGCTTTTGGTTTGTCGACTTAGTCAATCATTAAATACCTAATCATTAGAATGTTTGTGCTAGGAGGACACTCTGTGGGCGAGACGAGTGCATTGCTCATAATCGGTACGGAATTCTCCGATATGATATCGAAACGAGATAACTCCAAGATGGATAGAAACATCATTGGGTTATTCATATATAGCACTTTGATTGAACTTATGGCTATTATTGTTTCTTGTTTAGACTTAAAACTGAAACTTTTCATTTTTTTAGGTTATTGAACGTTTGATTTTCAAATCCTTCTTTGATTTTTCTTATATTCACAACTTGCACTTAGTAAGAAACTTCAACATATTCTGTTAATGGTTTTCTAAGAAATGAAAAAAAAAGGAAAAAGATAGAGAGAGCTAAATAAACGATCAAAAAAAGTGTAGAGAGCAAATAAATTGGGTCCTAGGATTCCCAATCAATACCTAATCATTCTCATATTTAACTGGGCATCATTGAGCTTAAATCCCCTAATTTTTAAATCCATTCCGATCCTCCCAAATTTCCTTTGGGCTTAGATATCCTATTGAGACTTGGAATTATTTTTCACCGCTAGTTTGATTGATAAACGAGTTAGCAGTATTCGACAAATACGAATTAAACCCTCAATGGGCTAAAGTCACTATGCAGTTGAGAGTCATTTTCTCCAATTTATGTGAATCGTTTGACACCGAAAGCTTTGATTGGCAGCTAGGCTCGAAACTAGGGCCGCAAACGAATCAAGCCGCTCGCGAGCCGCTCGAGTCAAGCTCGAGTCGAGCTCGAGCCGGTTCGAGTCAAACTCGAGCTCGAACTCAAACTCAGAATATTAAACTCGTTAACTCGCAAGTCGGCTCGCGAACTTGAGTGTATATATATATATATATATATTTTTTATTTTTACTTTTATTTAATAATAAAATTACTTATATTATATATTTATTTTTTATTTTCATAGTAAAATTACGTATATATCCTTAATATTTTATTATTTATTAAGAACAAAATATTATTTTACTTATTTTTTTAAAAAATAAAATAATTATATTTTTATTTTTTTCGAGTTCGAGCTCGAACTCGACTCGACTTGATTCGAGTCGAGCTCGAGCTTGAAAATTGCCGGCTCGTCGAGCTCGAGCTTGATAAAATTTAATCGAGACTCGACTCGACTCGACTCGTTTGCAGTCCTACTTGAAGCCGCAAACTCCTTCCCAGCAACACTGACAACTTTGACCACTGATTTGCAAGTTTATGCCGACACGAGCGACGAAGACTACAAAGTAGTTCCGAGTAGGCCAAGCAGGTCTATAATTAAGTACTTCTGGCATGCTAGCTGTGTGGGTAAAATGACTCAATCGCGTCCTGAGGTATCGTATGGCGGAAAGCCCATCTTAGCGTTATGGCTGTGCATGAAAAGTACAAATACATGCTTCAAGAGATGCTCATTTTCTGGCAAACGTCTCTATTTTGACATAAACGTGGTGGTTTACTCGTCGTTGAGCCAAGTGACAATGAACTTGATACCTATTAAGGTCTTGTTTTTTGATTGCTTTAGATTTTACAAAATTTAATTGTAGAAATTGATTATAAAGAATAATAAGAATCAGCAAAAACTATGTTTGGATATTATAGATTTTAGCTACCAAATCCAAAATCAAAATATGAGAGCAACTAAAAATATCACAAAAACTAATTATCCAACATCAGAATCTATAATTGATTGAAATAATCAATCGAGAATAAGCCCTAAGTAAGGTCTCGATTCAACTTTTATGAATGGAGAAAATAACGTTACAAGAGTCACTTTCAAAAGGGATCTGACAATGTTTAACTTCAGATTAGTCGGGATCCAATGCGATTACTAGACACTGGGATATTACACAAAACAAAAAATGCAAAATGGATTGAGAATGTGGTAAATCATTACAGCCTGACGCTTATCCTTTTTTTTTCTTTTTTTTTATTAAGCTATTTCTAAAATTTAAGAAACAAAAAGAAAAACTCAAGATATTGAATTTTTAAATTCTCAATCTTAGTTAATGGACCATGACCTTCTCGACAAATGGATGTTTGTTCGTCAGAGCTTTCATCGCGGTGAAGTCTTTGTGAATGCATTAATGGATGATGGCTAATAAGACAAGCAGCGGTTTACGCCATGAACCAGTAAGTTTTGACTTCTTGCAATGCCAAGATAGGTCGCAATCGCATTTGAGACAACAAAAGGCTTCATATGCTGTTTGTCAAGAAAATTGGCATAGGATGTTCACATTGTAAGTTTTCAATTTTATATTTCTTTTTTTTATTTTATTTTATCAACAAAAAAAAATTCAATGAAGTAGAATGTACATATGTTTCCCGGCAAAAGCTCTGTCAAATTCAACAATTACCAAAAGAACTTGAGGAGTATTTTTTGATAGGTTGCATTTTTGTCATTAATTTTATGATTATTTTTTTCTTTTATTTTATCAAATATTGTATTAATTGATGGATTCTATTTATATTTGGTAATTGGCATTGATTGTAAGAATTTGGAGCAAAAAAAAATTAAAAGCGTGATTTTTATTGAATTTTTATGCTAATAAACATGAGCACATCAAAATTTAAACTCTACATGTCCTAAGGAGGCTCGGGAGTGGACGCGTATTATCCGGCTGTGCTTTGAAGTCCCGAAATGGGGTCACGGATGTTCTATCAAATGATTGTTATAGACTTTCTAAATTGATTTGAATTAGTAATAGTAGTTTAATAAGAATAGGAAACTAGTCCATTAGGTAGTTTCCTTTCTTTTTGGCCGAGGACTCTTGGTCAGCCGAAAAAAGAGACAAGTCAATTTAGGATAGGTTTTTATCATCTTTGGTTTTGGGCGGCAGACTGGTGGTCATATTCTCTCTTTTGGCCGTGATAGACAATTAAAAGAAGGTGCTCTTTTTTTCCCTTGACGATGAACTAAGCTTGTCATTCTAGTCAAGGAATAACGGAGGATATGGTTCATCTAAAATTATGAGATCAAATTGATTATTTTTATTTCTTTTATTTACTGGTTTTCGTGTTTTCTCTGATTTAATTTCTTATGGTTATTATTTTATTTAAATATCAAGGGCGTCCGTAATAGGGCAGTTAAATCCGTAATTAGTGGTGACTGACATAATTGGGCTTGTGTCAGGGGAACGCATGGCTAACTTAAAATAACCCTCATAGCGTATTATTTGGTTAGAACAGGACTTCTCTAATTCTTAAGGTAATTGAAAAATTGAACTCTACGGTCGTACCTAAGGTTATTTCTTGATTAGCGAAGTGATTAATGGTTGTACCTTGATCACCGATACAGTAAGGAGAAATTGATTGTCATCGCTTGTTTGGCAATTATAACGTATTTATCAATGAGTGAATGAAATTATTATTGCATCCATGATCAATTGAGTGAACCATTTCCGAAGTTATTTCTTGGATAGAGTTTATTTATTATTGTTTAATTTTTAGTAAATTGTTAGTTGCGTATTTTTATTTGATTTGTTTAATTATTCAT